TAGGGCCTCCCCCCCCTTCCCTACCTCAACCTCGAGCACCCCCGGGTCCCCGCCACCTCCCCCGCTCCGCGGAATTCCCTCCCCTCCAGGAGGAGGCGGAGGGGGTGCCTCTTTCGCTGTCCATATTCCCCCAGCCGCTGCCGGCTGAGCAGAGCCCGCTCTCAACCCCCCCCTCCCACCCGCTGAAGATGCGCCTTCTCGATCCGCGGGTTCCCCCCCAGACCCACCGGGGTGGTTCTCTTCTCTTATTCTTTCTCGGCTGTCGCCATCCTGCATGCCCTCTGCCCCGACAGCAACTGGAGATCCCAAGGCGGCAGCGGCGGCGGCGGCAGCGGCGGCGGCATCAGTGTTCGGGGACGAAACCTGCTGCTGCTGCTGCTGCTGCTGCTGCTGCTGCTGCTGCTGTTGCGAGTTCGGTGGTCGTGCTACGTCTACCACCGACGTGGCTGTCGCTGTGCTCGCTGCCGCCGACTGCTGCGAGAGGTCCCCCCGCCCAGCGTCTGGCGTGATTCTCCTTTGCGTTTGACCCCGGAACACCCCTCCCGTGGCTGGGCAAGAAGTGTTTGAACATAAGTAGGTTTAGGGGGTCCGGCGCAAGGTAGAAGGGAAGGGGGTTATCGGCGGTAGGTGGCTTCGCTTGCCGTTGTGGTATCATCCTTCGCGTTCTGGTGGGCGATTTTTTTCCCTCCAATAGCGACGAGGGTCGGTTGAGTCACGACAGTGGTGTGCAACTGGATGTGCTATTATTGTTATTAATTGTGTCTCCAAACCGCTGACAGTGGGCGGCAGGGAGGGGAGATAGAAGATGGTGCGAAGGGCTATGTGATTTGTCGGGGCCGCTCAAGATTTGTCCAACAAACCGCAACACACTTGGGGGAGGCTAGGGGCTCCAAGAGGGGAACCAGCTACCGCATGCGTGCATCATGACTCGCTGCATATACCGAGCGTGGCACAAGATAAAACACCCCCTGGACCGATTTTCAAAGCTCGATCACTCCACGACGAAGATGATTCACAGACGAAAGGATACGTTTTCAGAGAGCTCTCGACAAGACTGTTCCAATGCCGCCACTGTTTCCGCTTTGGGATAATCGAGCTTTGAACATCGGTCCGGGGCGTGTGGTATCTTGCGTCACCTACGGATACGCGAAACGGAGAAAAGTGGTGAAGTTCAGTACTCAAGGACAAACATTGGTGGGCCTATCGTGAGTGGCCGAGAGCGACAGCGCTTGCGCCAGGTGCGACTTCTTTTTCAGATAGCGAGCCGCGGCGGTCGCAAGTGTCCTCTGCGCTGTCTCTGAAAGCTAGCTAGCTTCACGGCGCTTGACTTCCACGAAGAAGAGACTGGTAGCGTATCCCCCTCTCCCTCCTCTCTCGCCCTGAGGGCACCGATCTCTGAAGCCCGACGGTCCGCCGCGCCGCGCCACTGCGCCACAGCGGGGGGCAATCGCCCGCCGCCGACACTGCCGAGGCGTTGGCTTACACGTGGTGAGAACTGCCAGGTTCCTCGCTACTTGCAAGTCGAGAAGACGGAAGATATTTTTGGTCCGGGGGGGGGGGGGGGTCGAGGTGTTCCAGTGGGAGGGCCCCGATCGCGAGCAGCAGGCAGCGGCGTCGGGTGGACCGGCAGAGAGGGAGCGGGAAACGCTGGGACCGTCTTCCCGATCATTTTTTTTTGTTGCTGTAGTAATAAAACAGGGAGGGGGGTACGCAGAACCTATATCCCCCATCCTTATCCCAACTGCCCCCGAGATTGCATGCGTTACCCAACATGCTTAGACTACTCAATAGAAAATCTCCAGCGAAGGCTACTAGAACACCGGCGGGAGACCCGCTCCCGGCAGAAGAGATGCGACGCTGGCAGCGTGCCATAAGGTTGCGAGTCAGCGCACAGGGGTGCGATCGATTTTCTGAGCGCAAGTTTCTCCACAACCGGGAGGGTGCGAGCGCCAACTGATACTTCTCAGGAAAGCTCCTGATATGAGATATTTCCAAAACCGCCCCCTTTCGACAGTGGTAACCTCGTGGTTGTGGACAAATTGCGCTTTGGAAATCGTTCGCACCCCTGTGCCCTCACTCGCAGCCTTGCGTTACGCTGGACCCGACGCCCTCGTCACCGACCCCATGCTCATGGTGCACGTCCAGGGCGCTCACGTCAAGGAAGCGACCCACAACGGCATGACACAACTTCGGCCACCATGAAAGGCTGTATCTTCATTGGGGAGCGGCTCACGGCCACGAAACCAAAACTCGTAGAGATGCAGCCGTCGCTGCGGGAAAAGCCATGTTCCCGCAGCAACGATTGCATCTCGACGAGCTTTAGGTTCGCGACGACCATGGGTAGCTCGCCGCTAAAGGTAAAGCCGTTCATGGTGGCTGGGTTGTTGCCATGCCCCAATGGATTGATTCCTTGGCGCGAGCGCCCTGGACGTACACCCTGTCCTGGACGTGCTGCAACGAGTCTGCATCTCGACGAGCGAGCGGGCCGCTCGCCGATCAGAATCCAGTCTTTCATGGTGGGAAGGGTACCACAGCGGTTGCACCACGCTGCTATGGATTTTTTCGTGGCGCGGGAGTTGTGGACGTGCACGATGGACATGGGCGGTGACAACCTGAGACAAGCCCTCCTTTCGTGCGATGACTGCAAATTGTAGAAGTATAATTGTAGCTCGACGATACTTGCGTACAACATCATGCAGTACGCCCACGGGGTAGGTTTCCAGGTGTGCTCTTAGGAAAATAGAAAGCAGTGGCGGTCTCTGCAAAAGGCCGCGAACATATCTGCTGGCCGGTCGCACCGTATGATGAGGCCCGTGAAATCTGGTGACACAGACGGAATGGAGTACTTGACGCTGCCTCGTGCTCTGGATAGTACCGGATGCCCTGCACCACGCGGCGTCATGGTACAGAGGGACCGCTGCTTGCACTGCAATATCTTGGGAGAGGTACCCTGCACCTTGCGGTTAATGGTATACAGGGACCACTGCTACTGCAATATATATCTTGGGAGAGGACCTGCACCTTGCGACCTTACGGTACGCAGGGACCACCGCTACTGCAATATCTTGGGAGAGGTAAAACGGACAGATCTTGTACCTTTGCTGCCCTAGCGGAGGCTTCGTTCCTTAGAGAATATGCACAGCCTGTACTGCAAATCGGGGAGAAGTGTGAACAAGCCTGTGTCTACATTGGCAGAGTTGGCAGCCCGGTAAACTTCCCTCCACGTCCAAAATGATTTAGTCTTGGTACCGGCCGAGTGCGCGAGACTTCCAGCAGCCTTGTACTTGTGCAGCAGACGATACGCTGCTTGCACTGAGAAAGTCCGCACGTGGTGTCTCTGACACATCGTTGTCTACCCGTCCTGCAGCAAGCACGCAGCAGTACCTCAGACTTCAGCCGAGCGTCGACCGCACGCACCTCGAGGCAACTCCGGGCTAGCTCGTCTTATGTTGATCACCACCAGCGCGTTGACGAGCAGCATTAGCCCGATCAGAAACTTCGTCTGCGTTCCCATCGCCATGCTGCTACTGCTCTAGTCTAGTCTATACTCCTCCTGTACCCCGCCGTCTCCTCAATATGCAAGCTCCCGCCAACATGAATGGCCGTTGCGGTAGGTACAGAAGCGGCGAAACTCGTCGTCGGGTCTCCTTGGCCAAGCTCGCACCATACCCTGGTTGTAGCAGGTCTGTTATAGCTGCGCCTGTGCTGCTGCAGCAAGCTGGCAGCCAATCGGCACGTGTGGGTGGAACCGGGAGACGGGGGGGGGGTATAGGAGCTCCGCAGATTCGGGGAGTCTGTAACCGTCACTTTTCGCTGAAACATGATGTTTCTACGTTTCGACATCTCGACGTTTGTGTGCCTGCCGTTGGGGCGTGCTGTGTAGCTTCAAAAATGATAAAACATGACACCCATCGATCCTCAGAGGCAGGGAAGCTGTGGACGCGTTTGCGTTGGGCGTTGTAATTAAATCTAAACAAAACCAGGGAGAGATACACTGTAACGCCCAGCACCCTCTTCGAGGCTTCGAGGTTTCCTGTCACGAGTGTGGTCTTTTCCTCGAACGGAGGGGAGGCAAAACATGCACCATTTAGCTACTCGCGTCCGACACGCTCATGCTTGTTGTGATGTAGGGTTGATGCAGGGGTAGTTCACAGCCACGTCGTGCCATATTCGTGAAGCGGGCACCGAGAACGTGAGCGGAGAAAGTCAGCAAGTGCGACACTGGATGATGTTAAAACCAACCGTGGTTTTAATGTACGGTGGTCGACGACCTAAAAGTAAGCTGTGTATGCGAAGTAGAGTCGCAACAAAACACTCCAGTGCACCACGCGTAAGCAGAATCGGTGTGAGTGTACGACGATACGTAGCTAGCTGCATGCAACATTAGGTACAATCCGTACGTAAGTGAATGTGTGCGAACGGTAACGTATGTCGAGGGAGCTCCGTGTCGTTTGGAACCTGGATACCTACATCCACCCGCCGGCCGTATTTTCCATGGTACAAGCTCGGGGTCCTCCTTCTTGGCATTGTTGTGGAGGGCATCGCGTATCCGTGTAAATTGAAGCATCCACCCGTTGTCTCCGTGCTTGTTGAATGTCAGCGCATAAGAGCGCTTCGCTCCAAACGTATAACCACCATCGTAGCACCGCGAATGAATGCACGTTTTCATCGAAAGAGACGGGAAGCCGAAGACTACAACTACATGGCTGGCAGCGTGGGGTACGAAGAAGGTACAACAAACCTCTCCACGTTTCACGAACTCAGCATGCTACAGCAGATTATGTCCGCTCTCTCTCTCTCTGTGGTATATGCATAAATCCGGACACACCACCGGAACGTTCGGCCGAATACTTCGAAGGCAGCAACAACTTGCCGTACTTTTTCGCCATCACCCCAAGGATGAATTCTGGGGATTTACGGCACGCGTTGCTCCTCCTCTGAAAGTACGCACCAGGAAAATGCCGAAACCATTCCAGTATCACCCCCTTCAAGTTCCTTGGCTACGTAGTTTTCTGCTGTATTGCCGACGTATTGCCACTGTCGAGCGCGCAGCTTGTATTCACGATTCCCAACCATTAGACCAAGACAAATCATCGCCATTGCCCGCGGGGTCGTTACCACCACTAGAACCCCCTCTACCGCTCGATCTTCGCCGAGCTGGACCCTGGCAACGTGAAACAGTAGTGTCAGGGCAGACAGCAAGGGCGGGAATGTTAACAACACAAATTGTGATGAACTTCATTGGGGAAGGGCGTGTCCAGCTCGAGGTCGTGTTGTATCGGAGTTTGGGGGCAGCGATAGATATACCACACACTCCGGAGTACAGCAATACTGTCAGTTTTGTTTAAGGATGGTTGCATTTGTTTTAAATGGATACCGGGGAGGGTGCGGGTGGTGGTGGAGAGAGGACATACGGGGCAGAGAACTTATCGTCTGTTGCCGAAAGGTTGGTGAAGAACGCGCAATTTCGGCCCGGGCAAGTCCACAGAGATGCGGGAAAAGACCGAGAACGATGCGAACATTGCCTGGCCACACAAAAATGCATGCTAACAGCACCTACCTCCTCTGGGTCGTGGTCGTGGTCGTGGTGGTGGTGGTCGTGATCCTCGGAGTCGCTGAGGGGAACTCCGTTGTTCCTCGCTCTGGAGCCGTACACCACATCCATGTCTTCGATCTATGTTGGGTTGTGGGGGAAGGCGTGTATTAGGTGATCAAGTGCGATCCCGAAGCAGCATCCCACGGATGGGATGTTCGTTGAGGAGAAAATCGCTCGTGAAGAAAGTGGTCGAAAACATGTCGGTTTTCTAGGAACGAGGATGCACAGAGGGTCCATGCAAAGATTGTGGCATTTCATGGTGCGAACACGGAAAGGAAGCGACCGATTCCGCGCTCAGCACCCTGCTTGAAGAGGTCTCACCAGTCTCACCCTGAGGACTAATGACAACGCCATCATGTCAGCGATGCATCAAGCATTCTAAGGGGAAAAGGCTAAACTGCTAAGGAAACCATCGGGTATGCCTTCATGCCGCGAATACGTCCGCACCTGCGAAGCGGCATGCAGCCACTCCCGGTTGTGGGCGGCGAACCTCCTCCTCCTAACCTGCTCCCCCATCTGCCCGAGTCGCCCGTCGTCGCTACTGTTGTGCCAGTTCACATATCGGAGGCGCCGGATGCACGAAGGGCAAAAATTGCCATGTAGCAGCGCGTTGACCTCAGTTGTATGGCTTCACGAGGGGCCTAAGTCCAAGCTACCCAAGAAAAGGTAACGTTCTCTTGATGGTAAATGACCACGGCTCAGCAATTACGTTGCTCCTTCCTTAGTCTCACCGGTCGAACTCAAGCACGATGTCCATGCAAGCTGTGGCCATTGCTCTTGTCGGCGGGTGTCGGCTGTCAAGCGCGTCGAGCATCTCGGCCAACGCCCCGGTGCTATACAAGATCTAAACGTAGAGAAAAAGCGAACCGAGCGAGCGGCATTTGGAGAAAACGGCGCCAGCTGTATCCGTCACCAGTCGCTTGACACCTCATATGGCACTTCTGAGCGGAAAGAGACTATTGTCCGTTGTGTCGGCAGGAGGGTTTAGGGTTATTGTCGGAAGCCAGCATCCCCTGCACAACGCGCACGAGGGCAGACCGACTCCTAGACACAAAACTACTCGTTTTCCTCTTGGCAATCAGAGTGCCGAAGACCGGTTGGATATGCCCTGGAGATTGGATCTGCCAACGTTCTGGTGGCGTCAAATCGGATGCATGCACACCGGCGTGCAAGCTCTCAGAACCAGTCCTCCCGCCATGTTTTGCATCTTTCGTCGCGCATGTAATCGTCGGTGTCATTTGACATTCGTTGTTCTCCTCCCTGCCCTAACCCACAAAACTTCCGCTAACGCTTCGACAACTCGGCATGGATTGTGGGCCATGAGTGTATTTACTCCCTATGCCATTGCTGAGTTTCGTGTCGGCCTTATCAACTACGAGGCAAACCTACCTCTTCTCTAGATTCCTTTGTGTGAAGCAGCCACCACAGAGTGAGCAGGAGCTGCAGGGTAATCTCCGTGTCGCCAGACTTGTCCGACCACAGGTCATGCAAGGCGCTGGCGTAGGTACGGACGGGGAACGAAGTAGCCATAGCGCAGAGCAAGGGTGTGGCCTGGTATTACTCTTCAGCGCTTTGGAACAGGAGTTTGTCGTGTGTACCCCCCTTGTCGCAATTGCCGTCAGACGCGTCCACGATAGTCGCGGTACATCGCGCTCAAGCAACTCTTGTGTCTATTGAAATTATTACACATCTTCGGGCTTGTTTGTTTGACAAAGATGGCGTTGCTGAACCATGATCAAGATGCTCTTAATTGCTGTGTAATAGCACGTTGTATGGCTTTGTTGATGGCAAGATGGCACCACAGGCTAGCAGGGTATGGTGCTATGGCTAGGTTATGCCGAATCGAAAAGTACGGATGCGCATCAATGGTTGATTTACACCAGAAAATAAACTCGGTAGGCAGAGCATATCGATGATCCTGGTTGTTAACGTGAGACTTACATTTCTGAAGTCGATGACGACATAGCAGGCGAGGAGAAAATGTTCACAAGGGTTTCAGGTGACTACAGTCTAGAACAAACGTGTCGCAGCCGCACCCTCCCCGACACGTTCCAAGGGACGTGCAGTTCGTGAGTTGGGGTAGTCTTGTCCTCTGCATACCTGATCAGCCTCGAGCCAGCCAAAAGCGCCGCTGCTTGAGGATCTTGCGCCATCACCCCAGCCAAAATCACCACCTGAGAGGCCACATCCCACGTGGAGGAGGATGGAAGGGCACATTGTTTGGTGTGGGAGAATATTGAGATCTTCTTGAAACCCGTGTTTCTTCAGTGGTGCGTTCTCCGAGACGCTGTCATCGGTCACAAACCTTTCGCCGTTATGCATGAGGCAGCGGGTCTGGCTCGCGGAAGGTCTCTCTAGCCCGGACGGCATGTCCGAGCCGGAATGATCGTGACCAAGAACAGATAGCGCCCGTACTTTGGCACCTCTAGTATAATTGTGCACGTGCCACCTCGTAGGAATGCTCGACAACAAGGTTCCATCAATTTCAACAGATTTATCGCAGTACTCTCATGTGTTCTCTCTCCCACAGAGAAGAAGGGCGTACGCGACAGCCCCCAAGACTTAATTAAACGTGCCGTGTGGACGCTGTTGTCGGGGTTGTCACCTCTAGAATTATGTCGTTCTGCGCCATGCCCGGGACGAGTAGTTTCGTCAAGAAAGGCGCCAACGCGTAGTTTGAGAGAACGTCCACCCATCCGATCCCTCTCGGGAGGTCCAGCGTCGTGAGGTTGTTGAGTGTGCCTAGCACCTTTTGATTCGCGGCATTTTGATTCGCGGCATTTTGATTCGCGGCATTTTGATTCGCGGCAGAGCGAGGGTGCGCACCACAACCACATAGATAGTAGTACGGGGGAGACAACGGCCAGAATTTTCGCAGCGTCAATAATGTGGCGAGGAATAAACTTCGGTGCACATCGTCAAACAATGTGAGAAGCAATTTTTCGGTGAGCGTGTTTAGAAACTGAACGACGTGGTCACGGGACAAACACAGCCTACGAGGCATACCGAAAACATCCCCTTCCCCCAGCGTCTCAACATCGACTTTTGCGAGGAAATTGGCGAGGAGCCTTAGCTCAGGTAGTCGCGCGGAATCGCACCCCAGCTACCCAAGTGGGCGAGAAGGCTCGGTTCAGGTGGTCGCGCCGGACCGGATCTCAGCTACTTGCCCAACCCTCGTGTTTTCTTCCGTCACCTCAACAAGCAGCTCGTGGCTTTCCGTCTCCGTGGCGAGGTCGAGGAGTGGTTCTACAAGGGGGTCCCACAGCGTCCGCTCCCGGTACTCCTTCTCGGGGCTATCCATCGCCTCCTGGGACCGGAACGTCCACATGGAGATGTTGCGAACCACCTGCGAGAGGCAAGTAAAGCTAGACGCGTTGATATTAAACTTAGGAAGAAGTTTGTGTGGCCCACGTGGCGTCAAAACTGTTTTCGGAAGTGCTGTATGGGAGTCTGCACGTGAACTACAAACACGAATCGTGCAAAGCAAATGACGTAAACACAGTGTGCACCATCCCATGTTGGTCGGGGTGTCCCATCGTTTTCTATTGTCTACTCCCTCCATCTCCCTCTACCCTAGCCACATGCATTTCGTCTGCGCCTTGTGTCGAAGGGAGCAAACACCCACCAGAGCTCTCGAGGATCGCGTACGATTTTTGGTCCATGCTTCTCGATGAACGCTACATAGATGTAAACTTTGTTTTGGATGCAGCCAGTGAATATCCCAAACGCGAAGCTTGTCATGAAATTTTACAAGAGTTTCTGTTCTTACACCTACCCCATATTATCCGCTACGTAAATACGTAGCCAGCCCCAAACATCAGTTTCACCAATCAGCAACTGCTACAGCAGCATGGGAGTCCCCTTTCGTCCCTACCAAGTCCTTCACCCATCCTTCGGAGATGAGTACTACTGTAGTCCAACATTCTTCTTTCGTCTGTCTGCCTGTCTGTCTCTCTGTCGGCCGTGTGTTCGGCCTACACTACCGCCGTACCTTCATGAGGAGCGGGTCCTTCGTCTCCGTGACCCTATCCACCAGGTGGGGCAGCCCCCTCTGCGACGCCATCATCTGTGCATTCCTGGGGTTGAGGCTGAGGTTCACCGCCAGCGCAGCGAGCTCCTTGGCCAGCATCTTCTGCGGGAAGTTCAGCACCAGCTGCATCACGATCGGCATGGCCTTTTGCAGTTTTTCCGCCATCCACGAAAACGACATACCCAAACGCCGGGGGATCGGTACGGGGTTGGGGGACAGGGTGGAGCGTGCAGCAGCGGCGTACCGTTGTGTGGATTAATTTTATGTTCCTAAATGAGCCGAAGTTGACAGGGATTCGTTGATGTGGTTGCGCTCGTGGTGATCTCCATCCCAGCGTCTTTGGGTCAAAAGCGAGTTCGAAGCGCGTTGATTTATTCACATCTTGGGTGCTAGCTCCCACTTGCATCTACTCGCTCATGGCCGACATCGTTTCAGAATCCGGAATGGGTTGGAGCAACGGTCGACGCTCATACGGATATTGAGTGACCCTTCGTTTTTTCGTGTATTCAAGGTAGGCGCACCGCAGAACAGCAGGGCACCAGCACCCTAGACGAGCGATCTCTGATCAACAGCGGCAACGTAACGGTCACCGACTTGGTTTGCTGCAAAAAGGTGCATGTTGTTTCATCTTGGTCCCGTTGATTCTGGGCGCCAGCCTAAACAACACCCAAGGTGGTGCCCGAAGCAGTAGTCGCGAGCTTCGTGACTCACGTCCGTGTACGCGAACATGGTCTTGCATCGGTCATCGATGGACATGTGGTAGAGGAGCCGTAGGCCCCTCGCTCGGTAAGGCGGTCGCTTCAGGAGCTCCACGAGTTTCGGGATAAGTCCCGCTTTCACCATCTGGGCCCTGGAAACGGGAGGGAAAACCAACAACGCACACGCAAGGGTTAGCGTGTTTCTACCGTGGTGCTTCTCTACACCGCATTTTCATCTGTGTGCCTCCCTTTTCCGGCTGACTTCCACGGTTCGAGGGCGGCCCCTAATCGGAGCCCTTTCCCGTCTGCTGAGCGAGAGTAGGACGTGGGGGGGCCCACGGAAGTATAACGAGTCATGCATATATGGGTGTTTCCGCACTCAAGGATCAGCAAAGGTCCTTCGGTGTTGCTTGCCTTCGCGTGTCCGATCTTTCGAAACGTTTCTTCGGTGCGGGCGTTACACATTGCGGATGGATTCGGTGGGTTCTCTTCTGGACGAGCGCGAGCGCTTGGGCGCCCGTGCTCCTCACATCGACACCTTCGACGCTACACCGCACGCAGCCGGGGACGGCACAGGATAGATAGCACCTTATGTCAGGGTCGAAGCTGAGGTTGTACAGCAGCCTCAGCGTCATCACGATGAGAGGGTCGCAGGAGCACGGTACGAAGCGAACCAGGCACCCCGCCACCCCGCATTCCTTCGCGCGGTCCTTGTTTTCCTCCAAAACCTGGTCCGAATGTACGTCAGAGACGACGTAAAACATATCGGCTAGTGTTTGGCAACTAACGTGTCTATTCTGCGAGCCCCCCCCCCCCAAGGGTTGAGGAACATATGCCATCGGACGGTGGTGCCGACAGGAAAACAACTATCACGGGAGCTAGCTCCCTTCATGGTCTTTGTTGAGGACCAGCAGATGAGACCGTGGAAAGCGAAACCAAGCCAAAATTGATTGCGGAGACTGCACGGACCTACAGAGCGCGTCCTAAGGCGTACACCAGGAAGAACAGAGGTCTTCGTCGCTTGAAAGTGAACAGGCTCAAACCAGCGACAAGAAGGCGACGCCTTCAGGCGAAAGTGCCTGTATATGCGACAGATCCTGGCGTGTACACCGCGGAAACCTGTCGAGATGGTCGACAAACGTCACCCCCACTCACCGAGAGCTTCTTAAGGAAGGTGGCCGTGAGGTAGAGGAGGTTGACGCTCGCTCGCTCCAACAGGGACCGCAGCAGCTCCACCAGACCTTTCCGTACCTGACGACAGAGCAAATAACCGCTCCATTGTCAGCACCAACAACAATTATAGCAAAACCGCGACAGCACCAGTAGCCCCGTAAATGCCGACGACGCACAACGGGCACCGTCGATGTCGACGTCGCCATCAACAACCAACCTGTTCTGCGGAGGGGGTCGATTGCTGCGATCAGAACAAACTCACTACCGCAGGAAGAGGGTTCGGCCATAGTCACCATTTTTCGCTCGGTAGACACTTCCTCCGCGAGGTTGATGAGGATGTGCAGCCCGACGAAGAGCAACTTGTCCTGCCGTTTCGTCTGGACCTGTCGCGCGCACGTGGCATTCGAGCGCGCGAGAATGTAACGTCGGCAAAACGGTAGGCGATGATCGATTGATTACCGCTCGTGTATTGTTATCTCCCTCCTCTACAACGGCACAGAGGCCATCGATTTATTGTCGCTCGTGATCAGCGCTGTAACCCACCCGGCCCCCGGTGTATATCCTTATCTGTGCGTCCCTGTTCAGCACGGTCAGTCGTTTCAACAGTCCTACACCCGGAGCGGGTAGGCAAGCAAAGCGTTTGTCTATCGTTGAAGGTCCGCAGTCAGGGGGGACGGACCGTGGTGGGGAAATCGTACCGCGAAACCTGTGATTAGGGTTCTGGTGCCTTGGGGAAAGGAAGTTCGTGATTGGACAAAGACTTCACAAAGGACAGCGGGCCCCGCCCTGCGATGGCAGTGGTTGGCACCTGTGCGATGGGCTTAGCGTCTGTCAACAAGCCAGTTTCATTGTGTGAGCATGACGTGCAACAGGACAGTAGTTGGACCCTTCAATGAACCTCGGTTGGTGACCCGGGGCACGTGAATCGACGCTTCTGACAACACCGCGCGGTTACCCAGAACAACTTCTCGGCGTCACGTGCAAGGGCACATGGGTATCCCACCGCACCCGGTGTATCGACACACGGAGGGAACACGAAAATATCTGCTGCGAGAGGTTGGCCCGGAAAAAAATGCGCTAAAGCTGTCCAACACGTCGATGGTCGAACTCGAAACCTACCGTAGTCCCATTACCCAAGCATGGTGTGTGTGGCGGTCATCATACGCCCCCCAGGCGGAACATCTCTAGGAAACCCAACGGCAGTGGCACCTTTTGCTTGGCTTCTTCTCGTTCCGCCCGACGACGCACGGTCGCCGTCTGCGCATCGTTTCCCCTAGCTTCTCTCAGGGCTTTCTCCACCTCGGCTGAGCGTTTGCGCTTCTCCTCTTGCCTGCGTGCGTCAGCGAGCACGTAGGTTGCGTGTCTGGCTAGATTGGCCTGTTGTTCAGCTTATCTTGTTTGTCGTAAAAGGGAAGAACAAAGGTAGTGAGAACTGCCTGCCATGCGTTTGGCACCTTGGAACCGTCCGCACTATTTACTACTGCTTAAACGCTTCGTTGATCACGGTCTGTGATGCTGATCCCTTTGCTCGGCGCTGTGGAGCACAACAGATCCACTCCGTCGTGCACCTCGCGCTAGAAACACCCCCAGTCGTAATTTGTTCCCATTTGCCCGGCTTTCGTCTTCCCTATTGCCGTAGACAGTGTGTACCGTGGCGAACAACAAGCGCAAGAGCGCAACGTATTCCTGTCACCTGTGCTGCGCCCTTTGCACCTCCAGCTCGACTATCTTGAGAGTGATGTTGCCCACGCGGTACGTGGATAGTATGGGGTGCATCTCCATGAAGTTGGAGAACGCCTGCTCATGAAGAGATTCCCCGTCGAAGGCAAACAAATCGCGTACATGCTCGGAATTTACGTACTTCAGCGGTAACGCGCTATGTATGGTATGCGCTGTAGACGATCGCAACGCCACAAAACGTTTTTTCTCGGAGACATGATCCTTGAAGCAACTGAAGTTTTCCACGGAAACGTGGACGAGTAGTGCTGCAAAGCATAATGAAGTGGATTCTGTGGGAAGACGTTTGATACGTCAAGTACGTGCCGCAAGGTGTCGACTAGCGCAAGACTACAACTTGGACGAAAATACACGAACAAATTCCATTCGTCGGCTACACTCGAAACACCTCCTAAACTCCGCGCCACCCGCCTGACATCTCGACGTGTAACGTGTGTAGCCAGTTACAATCAGCGTGTTTCCACAAAGAGACGTTTTCCCCCAGAAACCAGCTCATGAGCGGAGACATATCTCAAAGTAGCGTGTGGCAGCCACACACTTGGTCCCTTCGTTCTCCCTCACCAAGAAGGCCCGTAAGATGTTGTAGCAGAGCTCGACGCTTTTTTTGTACTCCTCGCTCAAGACTCGCGTCAGGGCCCCCATGAGAGTGTGGTCCTATGGGCTCGGACGCCGAAAAGGTGGAGGTGGACAAAGTTCCGTGTTTGGACGGACCGAGGTCAGGGGACGCTTCGTGCTTACGTACATCTCCCCAAAAAATATAGATATCTGCCGCGAAACACGAGTCGATCCCTCACAATAGGGACGTTGTGTCAGTTAGGGTAAAACACTGGTCGTCGGTTGTCCCAGCACGGGGTCGGTGTCCATTATTGAATGACGCGTAGCACGCAGACACGCGCACTCACGAAGAAGCTGTGAAACATGCACCTGATATCGGAGCAGAATCGATCTCGTGGAAACGCAAACGTGAGCAATGGATACCTGGATGAGATGTTCTAGGTTTCCCACGTGGCAACACAGGTCCAGGATTAGAGCTGTTCCCTTGATCTTCTTCGTCATGTCATCCTGCATATGGCAGGGTATGAATCCATCGCGAGAGAGAAATAATACAACGGCGTTGCCAAAAGATTCGGGATGGACGTTAGCCAAGTTGTGTCGTCGATTTCTCAAAGAGTTTCTCGGATGCATTGCACTCGCATTGTATAAGTGAGAGGGCCATTAAGCAGACGGGTGCTCCAACAGACACGAAGAGTAGCGCATGACACTAACGTGTTTCGGAGCGGCTGGGGTGCCCCCGCTAAACGATCAGGGATTCAGGACAGGTTCGTCTTTGTACGAACTGAACACGCTACACAGAGTATCACTTCATATGCCAATGGCACGTTGCGATTCTCTCGGACAGCAAAACCGCGCAAAGGAACCCTCCGGGTTGTCCACGTTAACTGAGCCCGTACCATCTATATTCTGCCGGCTGGTACTGACGATTAGGCTACGCCCGCGCGGCCATTCTGGAATATCAGCTCAAAAGCGGCCAGACTGGAGCACAACCACTGCTTATGATATCTACCCCTTGCGCACCTTGTCCTTTCCCTCGTACAGTAGCTCGACGTAATCCTCAAGACTGTCCATTTGGGCTTCCTCCTGTTCCTCTTCCCCTCCGTTCTTGCCCCCTCGCCCTTCCTCGCCACCTCTCCACCAGTCACCCCCATCCCCTCCCCCCCCTGTGCTAGCCCGCAGGTCATCTCGGATAAGCTGCACAACCACGTCGCAGAAAAATATTCAGATCAAGTCAAAGAGCGAGTAACCACATTCCAGCATGGAATGCGAGATTTCAACCAGAACGAGCGGAGCAAGTACACAAGTGGTATAGACAGAGGTAGAAATTGACTGTGACGTTTTGTGGCGCTGCCTCTACTGACCACCATTTGTTTATTACTCCTATTTAATCAAGGTCTTTGTACGTACTTGGTGCTGCAAGTCTTGTATAACCCTCTCCAGTTCATCGCGCTTGGAGACGTGCACGTATTTGCACTTCTTCATCACATCTCCGGCCAGCTTGGACACATCCGTTGATGGCTTGAGGTTCTTGCGGAGCTTAATGCGCTTCCGCTCTCGCTTCTGCGCGACGTGGTGGTTCGAGCAAAGAGGAGCATTTGATGACGTTGGCGTCAGAGAAAACTCAAAGTTTTGGAAAAGCCGATTCTCAAACGTGGTAGATGGACACAGAAGGGTCGGTCGAGAATCGGCAGGGAAAATCTCAACTTCCAAAAAACACTGCACGAGAATATAGTAGAAGTTGATGGTGCAGACTGAGTAGGCAGTGGGTAGGTGAGCGAGTCCTCTGCCGGACTCATGTTCCGTTTCTGTGTGGAGGATGACCATTTGTTCTTCGGCGATGCGGGTGGCTACGAGGCAATAATGCGTACCACGCTCGACGCATCTTCTACTTCTGAATTCCTTCAGCGTCTCGAATGCATACTATCCCCATTAAAAGTGTGCTTGACCTTTTCTGAATCGACCGCCACTCCGAACGCGTCGAGGTAGGTCGTCTCCACGACATATGTGACCACGGCGGACAGCTCGTCCAAATCCGCTTCGATCGAAATATCCTTGGGATTCACCTACGGGTGATGCGAATTTCGGAGGCGCATGGTTACAGTCATGGGTTGAGAATCACGTTCTACTTGTACTCTCTTGCATCTTTTGTGGGGGGGTCACGCCAACGCATAGTCTAGGCTTCTCCAGTTCGTCTCCATTAGACTATCTATAGACTTTGGTGCATGTGTTTATTTTGTCGGGGCATAGACTACTGTACGTGCTGCTATTTGTCCCCTGCAGCCCTTCCGGATGGATGACACACATTTCGTATCCACAACGAACATGACATATAGCGACACAACCGGAGAACTCTACACTGAACCTAGACATATAACTGTAGGAGTATTACGGAATAAACGTCCTCTTCTGGTCGGCTCGTTTAGAGTGTTCTACATGTACACCATGTGCCTTCGCTTGGGCCACACATCTGTGATAAATAAAGTGGCTGAGAACTTTCGCGCTGACTGTAAAGATTTTTTTCATTAACCGCGCCGCACCTTATGTCTGACCGCACTATCCTCGCTTTGCTGTCCAGTGGCAGGCATGATCGCCGAGCCTTGCTCTGTCGAACGTCAGCTTACGATTTGTGATGTGTTTGTTTGATCCCAGCCTTGCGATGGACAGGTTTGTGTCGAGGAGATGCGTCGAGATGCAGGAGGTTCGGCGCTTGGCAATCGACTTTTCTTAAAGCTTTCTCTCTCTGTCTCTCTCTCTCTCTCTCTCTCTCTCTCTCTCTCTCTCTCTCTCTCTCTCTGTTCCTCTTACGCGATGCGCGCGCGGACAGTTGAACGACACGGGCGAACAGTTGCTTGAACTCCATCGGTTACACATCGAAGCAGAACCAATCCTGTTGTCCAATCAAATTTCAGCCGCACCATGCAATTTCGCCGCACTGACCCAGGGGCAGAGGGGCAGGCCAAGTGTTGGCGATTCTGCTGCGGAGCTCCAAACCGATATTAACGGCGTGCCCTCGGTCATGAGATACGTGGGAAGTTCCACTTCTGCTGCTGTGGTTCTCGGCTTGGTGGCTGGGCAGTCGTGGACAGCTATGTCTTTCCGAGCAGGCGGAAGTGCGGTTGCCAGCGCTGCCTCTCGGCCCGCGCGCACGTCCGCGTTGGCCATCGCTGCTGGCGAATCTAGGTGGGTAAAAACGCAGTCGCGACCTGGTGTGCATAGCTGCTGACAGGTGTGCATAGCATGTCCAAGGTTCGTTTCGGTGCCGCACGTACTAGAAGAGCAGATATTGTCTACAGCTATGCATATCAATAGTGCTGCTGTGCACGTGGTGTCAATAGAAGGAAGGTACAGCAGCGGCAGGCGACCATATTGGGGTCTTTCGGTTGCCTTACGCACAGCAACAGCGGAGGATCACTGCGGTGTACGATGGAGCTCTGTCGGTGAGTTCTAGAGTGGCTTCGAACTCCTCGAAAATCTGTCCTCTTTTTCGAACCACATCGACAATTGACGGGACGGCGTTTTACTACTCCACGTTGCTGCAAGAGATGTGCGTGGCACTGCATGTTCACATACGTACTTTTTTTTTGTTACCGTTGGTTCAAAACTGTTCAGTATACACCTCAACAAGGTCCACCCCACCCCCAGCTTTGCCGTCGTCACCACTCAACACAAGTGCCACGCCTGAACACAAAACCCAGGGCGCCTGGCAGCGACAGCAGCAGGCGAGGTGTCGCCACCAAGTGCTCGGCAACTGCAGCCGCCGCAGTGGTGATAGAGGGGCAGCGGGAGCTCTATGGCCAGCTGTGCAAGAAGCTGAAGGAGGTAGAGCGGCTCGCCGGCATCCAGGGACTGCTCTCGTGGGACGAGCAGGTATTCCGTTTCGTCAATGTTGGAGCCCGCGTCACGCCCGGCCCACTATCCACCGATGGGGGGTACAAGCAGTAGATCCGGCGACTACTCCACCGAGCTTCTTTAGCGCGGCCATGCAGTTCCACGGAGCCATATGGTGTGGTGTGTAGGCGCCATGGGCTAAAAAGGGAGACTGATAATTGTTAAATGCAGCGGCCCTTTCTATTTTGTACTAGTAGACTCTTGTGATGGTGTTCCACCTTCCGTCACCCCAAATTCTGTTCCGTTGACGTCTTCTTACCTAGACACGACTGCTTGAAGGTGAGTCTTGATAACGGTCCTCAGGCAGCTAGTGATCCATGCCAAGATCACAGCCACAACGCGTGCACCATTGGCACCATGCACCACGGCAACGCTAGCAACACCACCAGCAAAGCAACAGCACCAACAGCATAATCGACAACAGTGGAACGTAAAGTCGTGTCAGGCGATGACACCAGCAACAGCACCAACAACAGCGCAACGTTAAATGTGTTAGACCGTGTCAGGAGATGATGCCAGCAACAGCAACAGCGAAACGTAAAACGTGTTGTCCCGTGTCAGGTGATGATGCCAGCTGGAGGCGCGGCGTCTAGGGCCAACCAGAAGACCGCCTTAGCGGCGGTCATCCACGAGAAGAAAGTGGACGCCGGTCTGGGAGACCTCCTCCGCCAGCTCCAGGAAGAGCAGGAGGTGCGTGCGGTAGGTGGGTGAGGGGGTGCCCGCGGAAGGACGACGCGGGTGGGAGTCGGCGCGAAGGTTGGCGTGGCTTGGCGGCGTTGCTAGGAGCGAGAGCCGCCCCTATAGACATATTTGTTGGTTATCCTGTTTCAAGCGCTCGTGATTTTCGGGGAATGCACTAGCACGCCGGAAGTTTGGAATGCAGTGGAGTCAAGACCAACCCGCGCCATTATTCTCCTTCTAGCGTCCTTGCGAGATGCCCATCGTAAAGCCCGGCACACGTTACCGCTCCCACCCCCTCCCCCGGCGCCGATAACCGAAGGGAGAGGCGGCGAGCGAGCTTTCCGTCCACGAGGCGGCGGTGGTGCGCGACGCGGTCCGCGACTACAACCACGAGACGCGCAAGTCGGCGGAGCTGGCCGGTAGAGAGGCGGACGTTGAGGCCAGGGCCTACGCGGCCTGGGTGGCCGCCCGGAAGGATGGGGATTGGGAGGCGTTCGCGCCCTCCATGGAGGAGGTGTGAGCGAGCACGACTTTGTTCGGTTTGCTGTTGTTGACCATCCTCTTTCGGACCAGTGTTTTTTGCCTCGTTCCTTGTTCGGTGGTGTCGTTGATTTGTTGCTGACCGTCCTCTCCCGAACCGGTGCTTTTTTTGCCACAACTATGTAGCGGTCGCGCCAAACACGTACGTATGCTGTGGCATTGTGCTGTTGTTGCTGTTGCTGGTTTTCGTTGCTGACCGACCTCTTCTGGACCATTTTTTTTGCCTCCGTGCAGTGGTTGCACCAAGCACGTACTGTACGCATCCTGTACTGATGATCCGCGTGGCAGGGTTGGTGGGGGCCGCGTGCACGTCCTGTGTTTCACTGGAGATACCAAAAAGTAAAAGTCTGAATAAAATTGGGATATAGCCCTGATGCTTGTTTTGGCAGGTTGTCGTGGGATTCGCGGACAGGTCGACGCGAAAATAATTTTGGATCAAGAATATTTCCACGTTTCTCAGCGTGTCGCGCCTATCGGTTGCACGGTGGTTCACAGGAAGCAGAGAGAAGAAATTGTTCGCTTGATCACCTTCGCTATATAGAAACGGTGGCGGTACTTTTCCCCGTGGTATCGCTCTGCACGTTACCCTAAAAGCGGAGTACTAGTCCCGTGTCTATCTCGCCGTCGCTGCAGCCTCTCTCCTTCTTCCCCCCGCCCTGATCCATCGCTCATCCGCGTTGCCCCCGCAGCGTGTCTGCCACGTGTCCTTATCTCCTTCATCAAGAATGGACCTGATATTTTGCCACGTTTTTCGGTTGCTCATCTCCCTATTCTCACTCTCGTTCCGCGTGCATTTTTTGCGGCCTGTTCTTCTCTCCGAAAAAATAACAACACAAAAACAACTACGGGCAAAAACGCGAAACTTGGGAAGATGGTGAGCGTGAAGCGGGACGTGGCGGAGGCGACGAGGTCGGAGCTCGGCGGGGCCTACGAGGGCTGCCTGGACCAGTTCGAGAGAGGAATGTCCACGGAGAGGCTGCGGGAGGTGTTTGGCGAGCTCAAGGCCGGCCTGGTTCCCCTGCTCAGAGCCATCCAAGAAAAGGTAGACATTGCACACAGAGCGTCAGAATGCACGACAGTTTTCGTTTGTACTGTTTTCTTCGTAATTTCTTGGCAGATGGGCGCTTTCTGGGCATGCCCCATGTATTTTCTAAGTCGCAATCGAAGTCCAAGTCCTATTGCTGTCGGTGTCGGTTTCCCTTCATGGTCCCATTGGGGAGGGGGAGGGGGGTTCTTTGCTTTGGGTAGAGTATTGCTTGGTGTGCTCTTCTTCGGTTACCTCCTGCCGGTTTGGTGGTGGAGGTATTTCCCTCTGATGGCTTGTCTTCGTCCCTGTTTCGCAGGTAGCAAAAGAGGACAAGTCGGGAGCCGCCGCGGAGAGACACCCCACTCCTCTGCACTCGGGAGAGCAATGGGGCAAGGACGAGCAGGTGCATATACCAACTTTCACGTGTGTGCTCCTACACAAAGCACGTGCATGTGCGTACCGTGCCGACGGATAAACGTAGTCTTCATTCCACATGATCATTCCACATGATGCTGCTAGATAGGTTCAATCTTGATTTGATCTTCGATGATACCCGTACAACACGCGCAGATGGTGTCGGCGAACCGTTTCGCGCATTTTTTTTTTCATTTTCATGAATAACCTTTTATCATCGGGGTGAGGACAACGCTGCCCTCTTGTCAGGTGTCACTATTAGCATTGCACGCGCACCGCCATGAAGTCGGGATTCTCCGTGGCTACAATGAGTTCTACCAGTATGGGGGATGTTTTGTTTATGGCATGGGTTATGTTTGATTTCCACGGCAGTACCGTCGAGAATTTCCCATCCCATCGCGGAAACCAATCCGATCCCCTCGAAGCGGCGGGCTTCAGCGCCCTAGTTTTGAGCACACGTCGCGCGGCCTATGGCCTCCCAGTCGCGGCTTTCGGGCTTCGAGGTTGATTGTTGCCTGTCGGTTCGTGTCTCGTGCCTGGTTCTCTCTGGCACCCAGGCCGCTCTCTGCCGTGACATGGCCGAGAAGTTGGGTTTCGACATGAGCAAAGGCCGCTTGGACGTATCGGTGCACCCCTTCACCGGGGGACCGGGCCCTTCCGACGTGAGGATAACCACCAGGTGAAAATGCGGCGAGGTTGTGTTGTCATGTGTGGTCTGCCGTGCTGCTGGTATACCACTGGCCGCACGTTTGGCACTCAAGAAGAGTTCCTTCGTTTCAGCAAAGGAAGTGAAGAAACGTGTTTCTTTTGACGGAATAGGTGGCGGTCCGTAGCGTCGCCGACGACTCACTTTCCCGTTTCGCCCCGTCAACACCAGCCGAACCGGTACACCGGTGGTACTTTGAAGGCACTAAGCAAGAGTTCGGATGGGTTCAGCGTGCAGACAACGCGTCCCGTGTCTGTCTCGTAACCCGTTCGTTTTTTTTTTTTGTGTGTTTCAGGTACAGCAACAACTGGATGGAGGGCGTGGCCGGAACCGTCCACGAGGTGGGACACGCGCTCTACGAGCAGGGGAGGCCTGGGGGGGACATGGAAGACCTGCCGGTGTCGAGGGCCCTCAGCATGGGAGTCCACGAGAGCCAGGTGGACCAGCCAACATGGGTTGTTGGTGTTGTTGTTATTGGTGGTGGTGGTGGTGGTGGTGGTGGCATTCCCCTCTCTTGGACTCCAGTGGCTGCAGGGCTCGCAGTGTCTCAACCTTGTACCATATCCCGCATTAATACTTTATACTACCACACCCGTAAGCCAACCAAAAACTCCCTCCTGTGTACCGCTTTTCTTTTCCTTCCGCCGCTCGGTTTTGTACTTCTGGCCATTTCATCGTGCTATGCTGCTACAACCCTGTCCTTCTTTCAGTCTCTGCTGTGGGAGAGGATGGTCTTCCAGTCCCGCCCTTTCTGGAAGTTCGCTGCACCCCTGGTTCGTGCCCGCTTCCCTCACACGAAGGGGGTCAGCGACGAGGCGTTCTACCGTGGGCTAAACCGCGTCGCCCCTTCGCTCATCCGGGTCGATGCCGACGAGGTCACCTACCCGTTGCACATTATCCTCAGGTTTGTTGGGGCTGTTAAAAGTGTGGTATTTCATTCGTAGCTTGAATAGGCTTGCTTGCCATAAGTACCCCCGACAGGGGATGGCCCGACGACGTCTGGGTTACTTTATTTGAATCCCCCGCTGATTCTGAGCATGAAATTTTTCACTCGTAAGCAAATGAAATGAATATTTGTATACCGATTCTCACTTGAATGAGAAGTCTAAGTCTTCACTTGCAAGCAAGCGATGTTCTCCCTTGTCCTGTCGCCCTTTCTTTCGAGGGGCACCTACCCGGTGGGGGACTTGGTTTCACGGGACACAATATTCCATTTCGTCTCTAGCCGGTAAAACCCGACTTCGAATGACCTTGTTGTTCGGAGGCGCCTTTCACCCTCCCAGGCCTGGAATCGATTGTCCTCTCCCATGTACTGGTCTCTGAAGCACCACAAGATCTCGCTTTTGTTTGACCACGGGTCGGTTTTGTTGTCAGTGGGTGTCGGCAGGCGCAATAGCGACAGAGTTTGACCTATTTATGCGCCTTCACTTTCACTTCGCGCTCTTACCCCTGACCTGACCTGACCTGACCTGAATGGTGCTCTACAGAACGGTATTTCGCTTCAGTTTGGCGACCAGCTCTCTGCCTCACGGTGCCGCTATTCCGTAGCGTGGTAAATCCCCCTTCATCCCCACTCGATTGCGTGTCCAGCTGCTGGGATGTGGCCGCCGCGTCTTGGCGTGCGAAGATGTGGCAACAAGTCTTGAATCGAGTAGGGAAACTGGGTAGGATGCGGCGTAATGTCGTGTACCTTCAAAAATTCAAGTTTATGGATGCCTCACAGCAACACCGAATCATGGCCTCCGCTTGGCATGCTTGGCGCCGAGATACGAGATCGCGATCGGCGTTGCCAAGGCATTTGGGCTCCTGTTTTTCTCTGACGTACCTCGTATGCGTATTCTGGACAAATCTCAAGAACATTTCTGAAACTACACCAAGCAATGATCCATTGCCCCTCCGATGACAAAGGTTCGAGATTGAGCAGGGCCTGATGGACGGGAGCATCGCCGTGAAAGACGTGCCTTCGGTGTGGGTCTCGAAGATGAAGGAACTGCTCGGGGTGGACGTGCCCGGGGATGCGGAAGGCTGCTTGCAAGACATCCACTGGTACTCTACTGTTGTGTTGTTAAAGCTTGCTTGCGAGGCATCCACTGGTACTCTCTTGCCGCTTTGTGTTGTTAAAGGCTGCTTCCAAGAGATCCACTGGTGCTATCTTGCCACTGTGTGTCGTTGAAACTTGCTTGCCAGACATCCCCTGGTACTCTCTTGCCGCTATGTGTCGTTGAAGGATGGCTGCAGGACATTCACTGGTACTCTCTTGCGGCCATGCGCCGTTAACGACTGCTTGCAAGACATCTGGTACTCTCTTGCCACCATGTGTTGTTGAAGGCTGCTTGCAAGGCGGCCACTGATGCTCTCTTGCAACCGTGTGCGTCGTTGTGAAAAACTCGCGCTGAAGTAGTATGCTGTTGTTGTTTTTGGCGCCGTTGAACCGTCGGATCTTGACAACAGTGGCTGGGTAGATGTACGTGACGGCAGAAGACATCTCTCAGACGTAGATGCCGCCGTGAAGTCATTGCTGCTATTTGTCGTGGTTGCCGCTGATGTGGGTGTTGAGCTGTCCATTGTTCCGCCGTTGGTACCATCGAGTTTCCCCGTCGGCCACACCGCTCTTTGCTCCTGTAGGACTTCACAGCAGTTGTTCAAGTCGCTGCTCACGCAAGTTCGCCTTCCACCTTTTTGCCTTTTCCGCCGAAGACATGATATTTCTTGTTATTGAGCGTTTCCGGTACGAATATGCGCAGGTCCGTCGGAGCGTTCGGGTACTTCCCGAGCTATACCCTGGGTGCGGTGATGGCTTGCCAGTTCTTGGAGGCCGCGAAGTTGGCGCTCCCTGACCTAGACAGCAGCCTTGAGGACGGGAACTTCGAGCCGCTCAAAACCTGGCTCAACCGAGAGGTGGGAGGGCAATGCTCGTGTTAATAACTACGTCAGAATTATAGGTTTTGAGTGGGGAGGGCCTGAAGCACTGTTTACTTTGTCCATAGTTCGAAATGCTGCAATGTCATGTGTTGATATTTGTCGCGGGCTTAGGTTTTTCGTTTCTTCCGCGTAGTATTGCAGGATGTTCACTCGATTTTGGTGGAGAGACCGGTTGAATACATGGCGCGCGGCACTTTCTATCGACCACAAGCAGCCGTTGCCGCCACTGCAGCCAGTCAGCAAAACAAGAAATGAACGGAACACCGTAATGAATGGCCCGCCACGATCGAATGGCGTCCTCAGGTGCACGCAAGAGGGTCCCTGTTTGCTAGCCCGGACGAGCTATTGACCGAGGTCACCGGGGATATCATGCGGCCCTCGGCGCTCGTGGAGCACTTGAAGTCGAAGTACACCGAGATTTACGACCTGTAGGGGGAGTGAGTGGACGCAGGTCACACAGCCCGCGAGAAGCGAGGAGGTGGAAGAGTGACTTCCATGTAGTTTGGACATGTCGTGGGTGGTTGACCCCCGATTGAACCCTGTAGCAAAGAGGGATAAAGGTGATGGTCAATAATAGTTTGAGCGAATGAGGGCATGGGATATTGAGCAATATGCTCACCTGCGCAGGCTGTGTGTGGAAGGAACGTCGAACGTAGAACGTTGAGACAAGGCCTACTGTCCCGCCACTGCTTGTCACAATTGTGGCGAAGCTGTTGAGATGGGTTGGACATGTCCGTGGAAATGTCCACTGAACGGAGAGAGAGCGAGAAAGAGTCAAACACAAACATGGTGCTGTTTCTGGCGTCATGAGATGGCCGCAGAAGATTTTCTGACAGGAAATGCACGGACGTTCGTTCATTGTCGAGGGTCGCCTAATGACATTCAAACGAGTATGGGTTCGACAGCCAAAGGTGATGACCTTTCAGGTGTGCGCCATCCCCCAGAATGCTTCGACGAATCGTAGCTCCTGCTGACCACTGTTGTAGTGGCGGTCGATAGTCTACGGCAGGCTAGTCGCGTCGAGTGGGAAGGGATGCAAGCCTGCGTCAATTGCGTTTCGCGTGTCAGCGGCACCACTTTGCATACGCTACATTGTACACTTCGTTGTGTGCCCGGCGGACACCAGTGGAGGCGTACGTGCTCCCTGCTCGTCATTGCTCTTCTCCGGCAACTTAATGTACGATTGATCGTTTCTTCGCCACCACACTACGAGCTTTCTGGGCCACCCACGATCACAAGATGTCCCCATATCAAAGACTATGACATATGCATATTATAACCATAGTCTTTGTTCGCCATTCTTCTCGTTTAGGGGCGCCGCGAGATGCTTCTTGGGCTGTACACATACATACCCCAACCGCGTCGCCGCCAGCGGTTGACAGTCCAGACAACAACACGACATCCACGACCACGACAGGGCCGTGAACAACGATGGCGTTAAGTTGCAAATCGCTTGGTGCAATGAGCTCGGGTCGCCGCTGCTGCTATGTAGGAAATGCCCAAGCAGCAGTTGTTGCGCTGTCTACGAAGAAGAACTCAAGTTCGTGTCCTATTGCGGTGTGCAAGAGAGAATTGCGGACCGGCAAGCATGTGTTCACCGATGCCCGTGAGAGAGAGACCGCTATCGCTACCTTGAGCGGATGGGCCGAGGTGAGCATTCTGCCGATCAGTCTTCATCAGACGTGTGCCTGTACATTCTGGGGTATTTGTCACCTTTCTTGTTCTGTGTAACGGACGCACATTTCAGTTCAGCAAGGCAATGCTGTTGTACAAGTCTACAGTAGTGTCGTCCCTCTGCGTGTTCTCGCGCACTTTCTGCAAGCAGGGAAGTTCCGGGGACAAGACATGTGCAGAGCCTTTCTGCCCAACATGTCTTGTCACTAACTATCCTAGTAGAGTTACGAGGCGGAAGCGATATCACGTCTTTGACCAAGCCTCTTACCCAAAAATAATACTGCTGTACCTCAGAAAATACCCCGTCTACAACAAGTGTGTTGTACATAACATCAAGAAAGAATCGCGGTGACGAGCGCATTGAATCGTAAATAGAGAAATCCGACAACGAGTGATTGAGGGTAGTACGACAATGTTGGCATCGGAATAGATCCCGCACGAGGAATACTACACATTGGTGTTGTGTCTTCTCCTTTTAGAAGGAATATTTACCTCTGGTGCCGAGACTGGACCCTGTCATTCAAGCTATTCCGCCGCCTCCCCGGTCGAGGTGGACTACTTGCGGAAGACATTACCTCGACACAACCCTACGATAGCAATGCCGCTGCCAGCGCTTGCAGCAGGTTCCTATTCCCTACCCGCAGGCCGTATCCAGCAGCCAATGGCCTTAAAGGCCCCTAGTGCACGCACGTACTTGACCAGTTCGTGTGAGACCCCGATGTGTTTTTTTACAACTCAAGAGTTACGCTCTCGTACAGGGCATATGCATGCAACGTCCCCTTACCACTCGCTTCGTACTGAGACTTGCTGAAATGAGCTATCGTTGTTCCCAACGAGCAGGCGGGAGAGGGTAGGGACGCGATCAGCAAGTCCTTCTGCTTTTCCGACTTCAACCAGGCTTTCGCCTTCATGACAAGAGCCGCGCTTGTCGCAGAAAAGGTTTGTGAAGCACTGCTGTAGTGAACGCGGATCTCTCCTCACATATTCCCTGGAAAGCTTATTCCCTCGTCGGGTGTTCGTGGCACGGCTGCCATGCTGTTGTTGCGGTTGGCCACTATGATGATAGGGCTGGTAGTCGGGCCTGCGTGTACCGGGAAACGCTTGTGCGCGGACCCTAATAACCCTGCCACGCCTCCTCGTGTGTGCGTGCGCTATTGCGTTGATCATCGCAGATGGACCACCACCCCGAATGGTTCAACGTGTACAACAGGGTGGACGTGACGCTCTCGACGCACGACTTGGGAGGGCTCTCCCGGAAGGACATCAGGCTAGCGCAGAGATTAGATGCGTTCGCCAAAGATGCGCCGGAGGCACTGCCATGATCTGCTCGTGGAGATGTCCCGTCAGATTGCTGATCACAGCAGCAGCTTGTACTCGAAATCCTACATGTTTGGTACCCCCGTCAGCCGAAAAGGAGATCCATCGGACGGAGCTTGAGCAACCAGTTCGCGCAGGACAACATCACACATCAACACCGGGTGGGTGGGAGTCAAACCTCCAGCATGAAGCACTCAACAACGCTGCTGATACCCTGAGTTCAAAACTGCTGCGAAGGGCGTCTACCCTCTGCGCCGCTTCTCTTAAGAGTGGTGTCGTCCCTGCTGTTTTCCTTGAGCGAGAAGCTTAAGCCTCTCCTCTTCGTTTGCGGCCTTTAGGCCCTGTCGCACCTGGTCAGCACAGTCGGTGAACCGCCGAGAGAATGACGCTCTTGATGCTTGACGGAAGCAAAGGGTAGATAAGTTGGGATGGCCACACATCAGTTAGCCGGCCCACCAGACCCTTATGGGAATCACTCTCTACTATTCCATTGCCGCGCTTGGGGTTCTCTTCTTACAGGGTACTATCCACGGTATGTACAGTCTCGTTGGTTGTGACCTCAAAGCCGGTCACCCTCAGTGGGGACAATACAGACGTTAGAAGGTGCGTGAGCAGGTTGGAACTGATTTGTTATGCAAGTACCAACCATTCTCGGCTTTGCGTTTCATACCCGGGCGCGGGCTGCAAACCTATGCTTCTGATCGTGTGCTCGACTGAACGATCGGATTATCCCCTGCGGTAGCTTTTTTCGGTGATGTTGACCAGTCGTCGTCGTGAGCGTGTTCTTTTGGCCACTTCTCGACGGGGATGTTTGATGTCTTGGCTCAGTCAACAACGTTTCGTCGGGATTCTGTACAGTATCGACAACGACTACATGGCATGTATTGCGGTGGTAGCAATCTTAATTTTCACCTCGTCAAGGGAAGACTGCATCAACCACAGCTCGGCCCCAACGTCCGCTTTCAGGTTTGACAGCCGAAGCGTTCCCTCATCCATTGCCTTTGGTTTCCCCCCCAGCCAGAAAACGTCCAGGGGAGCCGAACCAGATCAAACATTTAGTAGACGAGTGCATGATAACATGTTGTGCCGAAGAGCAATCGCGAACGGGCGGCACGCACGATACCTCCGATGACGATCTGACATATACCCAACAGGTGTTGCTCGCGAGATGGAGACCGGTCTTGCAGAACTGGATACCCTAAACATGTTAAATCAGCGACAACAAGCGACACGGCTTCCGACAAGAGTCTATGGTTTGCCCAGCGAAAGGTCGTTGTGCTTGCCTCATAGCTCTCTGTTATCTTGGCCACGGCCTGCTCAAGGTGGGCTGCAAGCACTCTCTTGTAGCTGTTGGTACAGGAGTACAGCGGGGGCTCACCAAATGCCCGATCGCAGGCGGGGTATTTCCTGCAACGTGTCATCGGGAGTGAAACATGATTCGCCTATCATTTTCACGGTAATGCCATTGAGAGGAAGCTGGCTTCCGATTTTTTCCTCACGTGTGGTGGCAACAAAGTGATAGTGGTGCTGACCTACTCGGAGTGAATTATTGTGGTTCTTCCCACACAAAATTCACTCGCATCACGTCCGAAATATACTCCCCATCTCACACACGATTCACGCGAATCCTCTCTGTTGACCACGTAAAATCGTTCGTCGACTGAGTGACAATTGCACAAGAGAGAGAGAGACAGAAGAGTGCAATGTACGCGCCGTTGCGCAACTTAAAAGCATTCGCCAGACGTACACGAAACCAAGCTGGGTTTGTTCATCGAAGCTTCGTGCAACGATGCCAAGTGATACCAAGCCGAATCAATTTTTCCGATGAAGTTACCATGATGGATGTTTGGCCGCAGCCTCCTTACGAGCGCGCTTTGTCTCCTGGAACTCCAAGAAGGCATTTCCTGCAATCGCCTCCGGTGTCATACTGCGTATTGGGTTTAAAGGTCGGTGACGGTCGGTCATACCCGTGCCTTTTTCAGATGAGGTGGGAATATGCAACGATTCGTTCGCTCCTGATGTACACGTGAAAGTCGAGCGCCCTCTGAGACATCCGTCCACGAAAATGTTCTAGAGTACAGTTATTGGGCGTTTATCGTCCATTTTGGATAGCTCGGTTTCAGATATCGTCGCTGCCGTCGATCATGGGCTACAACACATAATTAGTCCACACTAGGAGGTGTGAACATCAACCAACTTTTTCAATGTTTTCTTTCTGAACATTCTTAAACATTTTCTTCGCGGCTATTTCTTGAAATAAAATATTGGCGGGTTCTTGAAGTAGTGGCGGACCCTAGTTTGTGCCTCACGTAGTGCCCTGTATTGATCAAGACGCCATACTTCGTCGCACACGTTGGCATCAGACTTCCGAACTTACCAGGCGAATTTTTCACAGTAACACGTTCAGCAAATAAATGCCTTCTCGGAATGAAAGCTGGAGTATCCGAAGAACTCGCGTGGACAAACGTGGATGATTTACTGCCAACAGTAGACAATGATATTGCCTCCAGGGTACGAAGTGGGGCAAGATACTTGCCCGAAATCGGTCTTGACGGTGCATGTAATGGGCGATTGGTTTTTCTCATCGGACTGGCCTGAATGGGGCCAGAACACCAGATCAAATATGGCCGGCTCAAGGTTGCGCCCACTTCTATTTCCTCGGCTCTGCGAGTTTTCCCTGTGTAGTTCTGTGTAGGATGTACACAAGCTACGGTAAGGCAACCGGAGAGGGACACATACCGTTCTCGTTCAGGATCGAGGAGGGGTGAGTCGTTCCAGGGTCTAGGGTGGGGAAAAGGCTTTCGTTCCAAAAGTCGAGCTTCACGGGCGACAGCCCTGGTCTGGGCGTCGCGATTTCTGTGGATCTCCTGTAGAAACGCTTGGTGCTGCACCATTGTGTATCGTGTGGCATGCGAGTGAAACCAAGACAAATAAAATAGATGCAAGGTTAAGAGTGAGAAAAACGGGCGATAGGAGGTATCAGTAGGCCGAACGGTCCTCAGGGTGACGCACAGACGATAATTCACCAGAGACCCGGAGGTTGAGAAGACAAAAACGAGGGCAAGACGATACGCTTGCTTCAGGCGAATTTTCACAAAATTCATAAATTGGGAAAGTTGGACTGTTAGTGGGGCCGTCCGAATGTGGTCAGACCACCACATCCTGCAAGCGGTGTTGGGCGGCAGCAGAGCCGGCGCCCTGAGAAGAAGTTTGGTCTATAAAAAAAGCACCTGCTTCTTTGCGTCCGTTATCTCGGCTAAGATATCATCCAAGCTGACGGCGTTGGAGCCACTGCCGCTCCGATCAACTGCGGACGCAAGCTTGTTCATTTCCCTGCCATAAATGCGATGAGGACGCAAAGAGAGATACAGATGGGATGAAATAATGAAACCTGCTCACGGCCGGCATGTCAGTAATTTCCGCCTCATTCGGGCAAGGTCTGCTGTTTGAGCTCTTCAAGGCAGCATCCTCCAAAGCCCCTCATTGCGCATGCGTTCAAGCCACTACATTGCTTTTCAGACGGATGAGTGAAATGAGTTGGTTAAAATGCCTCGCTCGCCGGGAGTCTCCCTCCGTTGCGGTTACGTGAAATTTTATGGTTTGAACATGGACAACATCAACATCATTCCTTCGCCTCTAACACCTCTACCCAGACGCTGCACCGCACTATGTACATGATTGAGAAACATTGATCGATGTTGATGGCACGGTAGTTTGCGTTGGGAGTACAAAGTCTTCCCAAGAAGAGCTATGTGCACGACGCAGACAACAGGCAGACAGCGAAACAACGTTATGGATTCTTCATCACACATACATACAGACCCAACAAGTATTGTGCATCGAACTACGCATTGCTAAAAGAAAGGAAGTACCGAACCACTTGCACTGCTTAGAGAACGGAGATGGTTTCTACGGCATATGGGCGGGATGGAGGGGAACACACGCGGGAGAGCAGACGCGGGAAGAGAAGAAGAAACATTCCGAAGGAATTCTTGATCCGCGATATTTCACCGTAGACCATCACACCACTCGTCCTTCGGTGTTGCCGCGTTCACTCGTATCAATGTTTGAACAAGGGTACAGGAGGGGGAAGATATTCGAAAAGTTACCATGAATCGTCGAACTTTTTCTACGAGGTTGGCAGTAGTAGATGGATGGCAAACGTGCCTCACTCTCGTTACCCGTTCTGCGTCTACCTCCTCGTCATTGATGCCGGCCCATATTCACTCAGCCGTGCTACCACAGGAACACACGGAGACAAGCAGCCTAGTTCGCGTAGCGCCTAGTATCTACCAAGAGAGCAATAGTTTCTACATTGCACAGTAGTATCGACCAAAGCTCGATATCAGTCCAATTCAAATGGAACAGGTCATTGACCAACTTTCACATTGAACCACCTGCCTTGCAAACTTGCCCTTGCCGCCTCCTCTAGCACTGGACAACAGGGAACATAGTCTCGCAAATCTACTCGTTTCGTAGCCTTGCTCTTCTTGTTGTAGGGTTACCTTTGACTGGACCAATCGGCCACACGGGCGACTGGCGGGCTATAATAGCGGGTACTCATGCGAAGATTGCGAAGATGGCCCGTTGTGTGCGGGGTGTCTGCCATCTATCGGGGATCTCCACAGCTCCACAGCGCCAGCAGCGCCAGTGGTGATGCACACCATGCGAGAGCGGGACGCCAAAGCACCGAGGCCTCGGCGGGAAACCCGGGGATACATGGGGATATGCCCCCCTCCCGCCCCTCCCCCCCCGGTGTTTGCCATCGGTGTTGGGTTTTCGTCGCTTGGCAACGACGTTGTAAAACAAGCCGCCGCCCCGGTGTTTTGCCATCGGGGTTGGGTTTTCGTCGCTTGGCAACGACGTTGTAAAACAAGCCCCCCCCTCGGTGTTTCCCATCGGGGTTGGGTTTTTGTCGCTTGGCAACGACGTTGTAAAATAAGCCAAGTCAATTCGTGAACTCGGCAACCAGGTTACCGTTTTTTTTTTTGCCTTTGGATTTTTTTTTTGCGGTAACCGTGAATGGTGGTCGAGTAGATCATGTTGTGCTGGGTCGAGAACCCTCACTCCACGCAAGGGGGATGATCACACCACGTTGTGTTAAATTGGTCAAGCACTCTCGAGGCAGTTACACAGTGCTTACAACTATCTCTGGAAGTGAAAGCACCAGAAAATAAATTAAGTCATACGCAGCTGTCATCCGTATGCAAGGAAGTAAGCACAAGATGCCGAACACCCTTAGCAGGATGCAGCGCACCCTTCATGCGACTCGCCGAATACCTCACGGCGCTTCGCGCTTGGTGATGTGAGAGCCTGGTTCGGTGAGAACCCGGCGTGCTCCGTCCCGGCTTTGTAGGGATGCGAGGTCAATGGTCTAACGACTACAGCATGCACGACTATGAGTACACCCCCCCCCCCCCCCCCAATAACCCCCATTTTCCATTAAATACTAGACTGAGCCCCCGTGGACTATTCCACAATGGGTGGGGCTTGAATTTTTTTTCAAGGGGACCCTTGGTTTGAAAAAAAAATTCTATAAAAAATTCTAAATAATGAGTTGGGGTCCTACTGCTGTAAAATATATGCCCCCCCCCGGCATAAATGCTTCCTTTTAGCTTTAAAAAAAAACCCGGGGC